CAAACCGTGAGATTTGTGATCCGTTGCACCCCTACTCTCTTGACTTGTTATTTGAAGACAAAATACAATATATTTTATTCGGGCTAGTTAAATTGATTTTTGGGCTACTAAAATCTGAAGAATGCCGTTCTGACAAGATGCGCGTTAAATATCGCATGCGATTTATCGTGCAGCCCTAACACACACACAGCAGAGATTGAACATGAAGCCAAACACCCTGCTTTACTGTGGTAACACACCGTCCTGCTCTTTCTGTCAGTGATTGATTAGTGAAATCGAAAACGTCTGTTTTCATAAACTGTCATCCAAATTTAATAACTCTGATGTCATCAATCCTCTCATCCTCTCATCTCTCATGGGTGACCTGTCAAAACATGTCCGGGTCATATTTTACTGCAGTGTTAAAAGAAAGACAGAACAAATATATTCTATATATAAAATATAAGAAAATACATTTTTATGACAATAAAGCACATTTCCCTCCGAATTCTCATTATTGTAATGTAAGAAAATGTAATTCATAACAATTATATATTTATTTAAAAATATAATATTTTTATTTAAAAAATATTACATTTAGTTATTTATTTAAAATATTCATTTTAGGGCTGCACGATATTGGAAAAAACTCACATTGCGATATCTCGTTTTTCTGCGATATATATTGCGATATGAAAAAAAATCACCAGATGACTTGAATAGTTCTATTTGGACAAAAATAATCAATCATTGGGGTGATTTTGTAGGTGAGTAAATCAAATTACAAGCATAGATAAATATAATAGAACAAAGATACAAATGAAATAAACAGTGCTTTATATTTTTCAGGTAAGTCTAACAGTATTCATGTACAGAAATTGAATAATCAACCCTGCATAGTGTTCACTGTATAAATTAAATCTAATAAATCTGTTAAAGCTACAAAAGGGATTTTTCTCTGTGTTTTGTTTTTTAATTAACATTCATGGCACAGAAAGCAGGAACATTAAACTGCTGTGAACCACTGTTACACATCCATTTTCTTTCTCAATTGTTTACCTTCACCTAAACCATAAGCAACTGTGTTTACAAGGATACTTGCAGAAACCTGCATTTTGACATAATTTCGCGTGTATGTGTAATTTCAGGCACAAATAGATGCAGAAGTGAACGGATTTCGGTGTTCACGTGCATCTGTGTGGCTCTCACCGTGTCTACACCGGACGCGCATGACGCGACAAAATACTATAGAACCCATTATAATCAGTGATGCTGTCTACACTGGATGCGGCGCGACACGACAAATCCCCGACAGAAAACTGATGCCGCGTTCTATTTATGACGTACTGACACAAAGTACAAATGATTTGCAATGGTCGCTTTGTCGCGTCCAGCGTAGACACGGTGTCTGTGTGTGAGCAAAGAAAATGATCAGTATAAATATAACAATCAGTATACTAAACATCGCGATATCATTGCTGAAACGATATATATCGTGCAGCCCTAATTAATTAATTTGTATTAAAAACATAATTATATTTATTTATTTGTTTTAATAATTATATGTATTTATTTGAATATTCGGCAACACTTTACAATAAGGTTTCATTTGCTTTTTTTTTTTTTTTTTTTAGGATAAAAAGGATAGGATAAAAATACAGGAGAATAGTGAAAAAATATTGTTCCCATTCCCCCACCTAAAAATAAATAAATGAAATAAAAATATCAAAATAAATAAATTACTGAATAATTAAACAAGCTAAATTTAAAATGCATACATGTAGTACTCAATGCATAATTATACTGTAATACAGAATATGTCAAGCATGTATAGAATAGGTCATGTTAACCACATCATTTACTGCTACATTATTAAAATCAAATGTTTTATCTTGTATTATTTAATGGACCTGAGCTATCATGAACTAACAATGTACATTTGTGCTTTCATTAATTAACATTAATAAGATCAACAAATATTGTATGATAAGTTTATTTCTCATTGATAGTTAACGTTAGTTAATACCTTGGAACCTTTTTGTTCTTAATATACTTAAACATCCTGACATTATCTGCTTTAAAATGAATTAATGTGTCATTTATATGAAATGTTTTACCTTTAATGTACTGAAATAATAAATTAAAGAAATATATGTAAATGTGACAACAACAACGACATGATAATAATAATAATAATAATAAATGAAAATATATGTACTGCTTATATTATCATATATAAAAATGAGACTAAATTTATTTAATAAAAAATTTGAATTCCTACAGTATTTATTTCTTGTGTGACCTGGTGATGTTTTTGTGAGATTCACACACATCTCCGTGTATCTCATACTGTCGTTCATCAGCGCCGTGAAGCTGCTGGATACTCAATGGTATGTTAATATGTTAATAAGCTTGAGTTTATGATCTCATAACCATGAGTTTTGCAGGTCAGTTTCAGTAAATGTTCTGGACGGACTAGAGAAAAACTCTGAGCTCTGAATGTAGAAAATCAAACTCTTATTTCTTATTTGCCTTGCTATGGAGCAGTTTAATTATATTACATTCAATCAGACACATACATGTATAGTCTCTATGTGTTTGTGTGAATGATGGGAGCCCGCTCTCAGCTCTACACTCAGTGGATCTCTCTGAGCGCTCCTCGTGAGTGTTACGGCTCCCGCGAGAGCAGCGCAGCTCATAAATTAGCCAGAAGCAGTGTTCAAAGTGACTTACCACGGCCGCTTACGTATATAACGGGATTAGGAGCATCATTCTCCATCTGACGCCGGACAGTCATTCATAACCAGCCGTACAGCAGCACTTCATTGCTATTCCCTGAGGAAAGCCAGAGAAAAAGAGTCTTAAGCGAAGCGATGATTTCCCACGCCTCGTTAACTGTGTGCGCATGTGGGAGTTTATTGGTGTTCAGAAAATCGGGTCACGCCGTGAAAAAAAAAAGTATAGCAATAAAATAAATTAATTCAAATTATAAAAAATTATTTTATTATTTTTGTTATATATAATAGTTATTTATATTTATATTTATTATATGTATAAATACATAATATATAATTAATTGAGCTGGAATGCATTATTATTATTATTATTATAGTATTAAAAGTAGTATTATGTTTGTTTTTTTATTAATTAAGTGAGATCAAATGTATTTATTTTGTTATTATTTAATAGCAATTATTTATTATTATTATTTATTGTATATAATATATATAATACATGTTGTTGTTGTTGTTACTATTATTATTTTATTAGTTGAGTGATCAGGGATTTTTCTTTCTTTTGTTTGTTGGTTTTATTTTGTTGCTGACATGTTGTTATTATTACACTGATCACTTGTATTAAAGGAAAATTAATTAAAAAAATAAAGTGCACTGATGAGTCATTGACAGTAAGAGCAGGAACATGAATAGAGCTGATTTTGATTTCATGTTAACATGATCAGAATTCCAGCTCGATCCGGACTGAGGTCTGTGTCTCTGGAGTGCTGATTCGGTCTCAGCCGATGCGTTTCTTCTGTGTTGTTGGAGAGTGACTGTCGCTCAAAGGGAAGTTCAGATGAAGGACACGAGAAATCAATGAGCGTCTGTGAATTCATTATAGGAACACACCTGAGTGTGTGTGTGTGTGTGTGTGTG